GGGGGGCAAATAGCAGCCCGGCCTTTGCTGCTCGCTGGGGGGGGGTAAATAGCCAGCATGGCACCTCTTCAACACGAGTGTGCCGTACTACAGGGCTATGTATGCACAATGACGAGTGTGTTATCTGGGTGCTTACGAACGCGCATGGCCCAGCAGGCGCCTGGGTTCAAACCCCAGCGGCAGCAAAAATCCTGGATCTTAATAATGTAAATCCGGGAGCGGGCGGGGCGGAGCGGAGTGGGACGGGGCAGCGGGGCAGCGTGGCGCGCGCGCACGTTCCCGCTCGGATACCAATGTAGCGGACCCACCAGGAAGGTGCTCCGCCTGGGATACAGATAGAGATGGAGGATGAGGGAGGAGCGAGATGGCACAGCGCAGCTCCCACGCAAGACTCCAACGTACGTTCTCCAAGATCGTGCAAGTGTAGAATGATGCCGAATACAAACAACAGCTGGGGTATACCCCAGCGGGCTGACGGGACTGGACTGGACTGGCTGGTACCGACAGAGGTACCGGCCTGGACTGGACTGCCCCGAATAAAACACAGGCCTGTGAGGACAAGCCAAGGGGCTGGTCTCACAGGCCAACCAGAGGTCCGCTACATCTACCCAGAAAGCACAGTTAAAGTTGCATCAGCACTGGAAAGTTGCTGGCAACAATTAGTCGACCCCCCACATCCAAGAGCAGCAGCTCTCCTCTGGCTAGAATCTCTGCTGGCCACCCCATCAGCAGTTAGGTTGATAAGCCATGGCCTGAAGGTAGACCCTCAATGTAAGAGATGCAGGTGGATGTTAGAATGGACAACCCATATTTGGTGGGATTGCCCAGCCTCAAGGAGGATCTGGGATTGGTGGGCCAGGCAATGGGAGAATAATGTTGGGGATGGGTTCAAGTGGGACAGAGACTGGGTGTTGCTGGGAGGAGTCCCAGAGAATTGCTCACTGAAGAGGGGCTGGGGGTATGTCGCGCAGGGAGTCAGAGCAATCGGTTTCTGGGTCATCTGGGCTGAAAGGAACAGGACCCAATTCGAAAACAGGATCATGCCGGACCAGGAGATCAAGGCAACAATGAAAGTGATGCTCCGCAGAGTAATCTCAGCAGAATGGAGGAATGTACCGAAGGGGAGAAAAAGCTCAACGGGGTTCAGATGGTCCGTGGACACCTGGGGCCAAGGGGTTAAGTTAGTAACAGTGGGGGGGAGAGGGAACCTGGTTTTTGCAGACTGGTTATTGGAGTAGTCACAGGTAATACAGGACTCTATACCAGGGCACTCGGTTCTCTATCCACAGCAGGAGGCAGTAGGGCAAGAGGGGTAAGAGAGTGCCAATAGGAACGAGGAGAGGTAGGCTCCGTCCGCCACATAGGCGGGATGAGAGGTGAGGAAGGAAGAGAGGGTAGAAGTAGTAGGTAGGAAGTAGCGGGAGGAGGGTGTGCTAGATGGGAGTTATAAAGAAATCGAGAAATTAGAAAGAAAATCGAAATGCAGTATAGAAGGTTAGCTCTAATGATTGTTTGATGAAGTTAGCAGAGCTGTGGGGCGTTGGCCCCTGTCCCCCTAGGATGGACACCTAGTGGGAGTGCGGTGGTATTGGCTGGTTCGAATGCAGGGTAGTGGAGGTAGCTTGCGTGTGTTTGTTAAGTTCCCGTTTTTCTGAGTTGGTGAACAAAGGCCTGCAGAGCAGTAGCTGGGGTCCGTCCGTGTGAAACAGTCCTGAGTCGTTCCAGGTTGTTTGTGAGGATTCCCGGCTTCTAAGTGTGATCTTTAATGGATTCCCTTGCTTTTCCCGAAAAAAAAATAAAATAATAATCTGGCTGGTCCACCTGAGTCCCAGTTATGCCCATAATTTTTCCTTGTTATATCCATAATTTGTGCATTCCGTTGGTTGGTTATTCCTGCAATATTACGGTCCCAACCTGGGCCCACCCCAGTCCTGGGCTTACAAATAATTTCCAACCGCAGTTTTTGGGTATAGGTGCAAGTTGGGGGCAGGGACAGGGTTTACCGGGTATTCCCGTCGTTAAGTAGGGTACATACGCAATTTTCCCTACATTTTAAACGAGTGTCTGTAAAGACATTGCTTTTTGAAGAGAAAAGATAAGAATGACTACTTGTCTCCTTCGCGTTTGTACCAGAATCACCAGATTCACGCTTCGAACGAAATCGAGGTCTGTTATTAACGGTCATCCATGTTCAGTCTCGTCGCACTGGAAAGTGGTGGCCCTATCATTGGTTGGAAGTGAACCACCACCCGAAGCAGACCTGCAATTTTGTTCACAACAGGCAATTGCGCAAAAAAAAAAAAAGAAAAAAAAAAGGCATCTGCGCACTTTTCCCCTGTCAGCACTTAACAGCATACATTGGCCAGACTTCGTTTCATCAAGATGGTCCCATCCCATTATCAGCTCCCAGTCCACTGTTGCTCAGTTGGAAATCGATTGAAGTATAGTTTTGTTATTTACTCCAGCAAGAGAATCAGATAAAGAAAAAGGCCGAAAAAGAGATTGACTGCAAGGGTCATTCAAATCACACCTTCGGGGAAAAGCAGGTTCAGGTGCAGTTTGGCTGGGAATCCTGGGATGAAAGGGCTTGCGCATCATACAGTGGAACAAAGGAAGGCATTCCATCGAAGACCCCCCCTGAGGTATCGTACGATGTACGCTTGTAGTCCACCAGAAAAAGAACCGTCAACGACACTCGGAGGCAAAGAAATGGTCACGAGCGAAAACGAGAAATTTATTCCGTTATTAACATACTATCAAGAGAACAAGCAGCAAAGCAGACGAGGCTCGATCCACTGGAGTCAAGCCTAGTAACAATATGAAAACGATAGGAACATGTTCCAAGGAACTCGGTGGTTGTGCCGACTCGACCAGTCGAACTCAGCTCTTTACCAACTTACTTATTATCGACAGCCCTGTTAAGGCCTTATCAAGCGAAGGTCACGCATGACTGCGGGAAACCAAGAGCACACTGCCTTCACTCGGGTGTTGTTCTACGGCTTTTCCACAGCCTGGCAATTTTTCGGCAGTCCGAACTTCAGCGTCCCGGGCGTTGGTGATGAGCCCAGCACTATTTTGTCATGAAAACTGAAGACCGTAACCAAGTGGCGATCATCGCGGATGCGAATAAACCTCGGTCCTCTATTGTTTCCTACGAAGGAAAAGCCTTCCCGCTAAATCTGTTAAATCGTTCACGTCAAGTTGTAGAGCCCGCGGGTAGCTCAGAACCATAGTAAGCTACGCAAGCTGGTTTGCAACAAAGCGTACTGCAGACTCAGCATTAGCACTACGTCCGTTTCTACTGATGGTGCTCAACGGAAAGCAATTACGCTGCATTTACCCTTCTACCGAGCGGACAAGGGTCGCCTACCGCTCATTGCCTGCACGCAGGCTTGCACTGTCACTGACCGCACTTCTTCCAGCGCCCACCATGATGACCATTGCAGCACTTCCGTCATGTTTGCGGCTCAATTGGTACGGTCGAGACCGTTGCACTTCCGTCAGGCTTGCACTCTCCCAGGAGACACTTCTCTCCCTGGGCGCAATCACAATCCTTGCAGCACTTCTTGCACGGACCGCAGGGCACACAACGTTTCTGTCCCTTGGGGCAGCATGGCAGCTTGCACTGTCCGTTGACGCAATTCTGCCCGCTGGGACAATCACAATCCTTGCAGCACTTCACGCAGGGACCGCCCTTACAGCAGCGCTTCAGTCCAGGCGGGCAGCCGCACGACGGCTTGCACTCTCCCTTGACACACTTGTGCCCGCGGGGACAATCACAATTCTTGCAGCACTTCACGCAGGGACCGTCCTTGCAGCAGCGCTTCAGACCCTTGGGGCAGCACGACGGCTTGCACTTTCCCTGGACGCACTTGTGCCCGTGGGGACAATCGCAATCTTTGCAGCACTTCACGCAGGGACCGTCCTTACAGCAGCGCTTCAGCCCACTCGGGCAGCCGCACGGGGACTTGCACTGCCCCTTGACGCACTTCTGCCCACGGGGACAATCGCAATCTTTGCAGCACTTCACGCAGGGACCGTCCTTGCAGCATCGCTTCAGTCCGGGCGGGCAGCCGCACGACGGCTTGCACTCTCCCTTGACGCACTTCTTCCCGGGCCCACAATCACAATCCTTGCAGCACTTCAGGCAGGGACCGTCCTTACAGCAGCGCTTCGTCCCRGGGGCGCAGGGACATGGCTTCTTGGCATCTGCGACATGGAGGGCGCAAGCCAGGACGACCAAGCTCGCAACGGCCAAGGCCGCAGAAAACCGACCCATCTTTGCTATTGGCACTGCTTTCTTTCGCTATGCGGCTTCAAATTCTGACAACGCAACCCTGCAACAACAGCGATGTGACAAGCAACCATCGTAGAGAGGGAAAACACACAGCAACGCAGCGACGTGACGAGTAAGTATATCACGATTGGTCAGCGTCAACAGTGAGCCCGCCCAGACGCGTTATGGCATCACACGATTTGCGAGACCCCACCGCACAGCTCTTCTCTACGACCTCAGTGAGCTACCACACAAGTTACGAGCATCACACAGAAATACAAAACCAGAAGGAACTCAAACAGAGAAGACGAGAAACAGTCCCACGGCAATCATTTCCGCTGGGCGTGCCGTGAATCGTGATCATGACAGAACGGAACGTTAATCATTCTCGTCCATTGGCGGATGCAAAAGAGCGAGATGCAAAAGTAGATCATTTCTCCGTTAGAGTTCCGGACCTGGACAAGACAAATGTCGACAGAAGAGCGAGATGCAAACGTTGATCAGGCACTCAAGGGCGCTGGAGCTTCAGGAGCGCAGCTAATAAAGTCGTCATCACCACGAACATCGTCAAAATCGGCACGCACCAACGTCACGCACACTCACCTTGACAGCGATTCTGAAGGGGGGGCAGTGGGCGCGACTCATCAGGACCAGCGAGGACGGCAGGCGGAAGAGTCGGGGGAAATTCGGAACGTGAAGAGAGACACGGGAAACGCTCAAAGGAAAACCTTTCTTTCATGTGACGGACTGTGCCAAAACTCGATAAGCAATAGGGAAATGTGACTTCATTTCTGCTTACGCAACAATGCCAAAACTCGATGAACAACGCGGGAAGATGCAGGGGAAAACAAACGAGAAAACCAGATTCAGGTGCACATCAGGTTCATCATCGACATCATCAACAGCAGCGCGTTACATGCACTTACCTCGGCAGCATCACGAGAGCGGTCAAAGGGAACATGCACTGCGGAGAGGGCTAGGCCGCGAGCGTCTAGTAAGAGAGAAAC